TACTTGTGTGGGTAAAAATGCTTTATTCAGTAGTATTGTATAATCAGCTTACATGTGCTTCGTGAGAACCACGTGAGAGGTAATTCTATCTATATGCTAATCAGGATATCAACTTCAATCAATGTTTATGAGGAGGAATACTATGACAATGCCTACGACTATAACGTTCTCCCATTTAAATCTCTCAGCTCTTGGAAGGTTTAGCAACACTAAGTAAAGCACTCCAACTGAATAATCTTTTCGATGCTGCATAGGCTGAAAATAATCAAAATTCAACATTAAACCATAGTTTCTAGGAGCTTTTAGGAAATCTTGTCCGTTGTTCTGTTGAAAATCATTCCACAGTTTTCCATCATAGATGTCAGCCATACAATTGCCATGCCTGCGTAATCTCCATTCTTCACATTTTTGAACTAATCCATTTTTCTGTAACAGGTTTTCAAGAGAGTTTATGATGCTGTTATAGCAGTAGTAGTGAATGGRGTAGAACTTCACCGAATTGTCCTTAAAAGTTACCTTTCTAACTAATTGGCTATTGCAAGTTCTCTGCCTTCTCCTAGAATAGAATGTGTTGGTGCATTCCTTTCCAACTAAATTTCCATTGATATTCTTCACACATTCATTATAGCTGTAACACTTTGTACATTTTGGACAAACGACATATTTAGTAAAGTTATCTCTGTCTAAAGCGAGAAATTTCCGTGCCATGTATAGAGAACATGGGAATATGGTGATTATTTCGTTAAGAATCTCATTTGAAATTTGGACGTTGAGTATTTTAAGGAACTGAAGAAAAAACTGGAGTAACAACGTGAGACCGTTGTCACTCAGATGGCTCAAACTCTGCCAAATCAACAAGAAGTAAAGCATGTTATGAACAATAGAGTGCACGAAGTGGTGCTTCTTCCTTTTAGCAACAATTGCTGGTTCCGTTGGGAGGGGAGGATTATCTGAGTCAAGATCTTGAAGAACAGATTCTGGCAAAGCATCCCATATTTCCTCAGTATCCGTATCGTACTCATCGCTGACCTCTTCTGAGCTGTCAGTGTTTAATGTTCATTCACTTTTCTATAAAATGTCAAGAACATGAATTATTTATAAGAGGAATATAATTACATGAAAGATAATTCGAGCGAAGGAATTCGTTTCCGTATTAATTATTTCAGTAAAAAAAAACGGTAACGAAATATGCATGCAATTATGTATACAACAATGTCCAGTTAATRACACAATTTATTATATAATTACTAATGAAATATCTATTTTTCTCTATTTCGAAAAATTGATATTTTCACACGTGAAAATAACATGTTATTTTCACGTGTGAAAATAACACCATTGCGATGGCTATTCAAAAATACACGGAAAGAATTGCCTGAAAAAGCCAAAACATACTTCATCGATAATTATATAATAAACAGAATATTACATGGGCGCTTGGAGATACGAATTTTATCTTCTCGTTTTGAAAATCTCTCACTCGTTTGCTGCGCTCACTCGTAAGAGATCTTTTCAATACTCGAAGATAAATTTCGTATCTCCGCGCGCCCATGTAATATCCTCTATGTATCTAGTATAAAGGAGGGGGCGTATGTAGCGAGATCTCGATTATAGGGGGGGGGGGATATTGCATTTTCCCTTCAAATCCACAGGAATCCCGCATAAATTAATCTAATTTTTGGTGCCGAAAGCAAACTTTTGTCCCCCCCCCCCTCCCACCCTATTCTAGTGTATCTAAGTTTGAACTTACATCTATATTTAATCTCAGTTGATCATGATCGTCTTCAGATATTGGCTCTGGTTCCCTCTCGCCTATACATGTGGGAAATAGTAAGGAACAAGAAGTGACACTTGATATCGATTGACACAGATTTAGTTTAACATAGGTATTGGATGGTGTCATTGACTTTTGACCATCACACAAAACTCTGACACTAGGCYGGCAATATTTGAAATGACCTTCTTTATTTCATGGACATAGATTGCGACCAAATAAAATAAAAAACTAAGTTAATAAATGCATACATAGATAAATAAATAAATACAAGAAGTCGGCAGCTAACCCATAGAGGAAAGTATGAACATTGAAGTACCATGCGGGGTACATTGTCAAATTCGCTTTCAAGCACACATGACCTACTTAAAACAAAATTTGCACGAACCAATTTGCATTATAATGTAGATGTGTATAGATTGGATGCATGTCATGATATCGTTTAATGAAGGAATTTATAAACCTTTGTATGATCATGACCGATTCCAAAAACGAACGAGTGTTAAGGACTTGAGATGGATATCTTAATAAAACCACAAGCGCAATATATAATACATACCTTGGAAGTTACTTGATGTCTCGTTCTCTGATTCAGATGACGATTCAACATGTACAACTGGCCCATCTCTCACATTAGATCCACGACGCAAAATGTTCATATGTCTCCTGTACGTTGATTCCGATACGTTTTCATTACAATGAGTACAAAATAAATAACCCTGAGTGGGATTCAAACGAACTGAGCTCATGTTTGAATACTGAACGGCCAACTAGCTTAATGTATACAACAATG